TTTTAATGTTTCAAGAATACAGAATTTAATGGAGTAACAATGATGCAAAAATAATGAAAGTACTGTTATTATAATAGTTTTGTAAAAAATCAAGATCGTGTGTTGAAAATGATGCAAGAAAATGAAACTAATCCGATGAATTCAATTTTTTAAGAATAGACAAATTAATGAAATGGAAACGACGCAAAAGTGATGAAACTAATGCAGTGACTTTAATGTTTCAAAAATACAGAATTTAATGGTATAAAAATGATGCAAAAATAATGAAACTACTGCAATGGTTATAGTTTTGTAAAAAAAACTCAAGATCATCTAATGAAAATAATGCGAAAAAAACTAAACTCGTGCAATGATTTTAATTTTTCTGGAATAGACTATTTAGTGGAATGAAAATTAGGCAAAAACAATGAAACTAATGTTATTATTATAGTTTTTCAGAAAAATTAATATTATTTGATGAAAATCATGCAAAAAAATGAAATTAATGCAATAATTTCAATTTTTCGAGAATAATCAATTTAAGACAATGAAAATGATTCAAAAATCATGAAACTATCGGATGGGTTCGATTTTCGCGAAATAATTGAAGTAACGAAATTTTTTTAATGAAAAGTTTTGAAAAAATTATTTAAATGAAATGTTTTTCATTTTTTTATTCCCTGGGTATTGTTCGCATGAAAAGTCTACGTAATGCTTCTGTCCATGTTTGTGCAAAATCTATCTACTTTCGTTTTGTGTTTTTTCAATCAAGTTTCTCTCCTTTTCCAGATGAGGAGAAACTTGACCGAAAAGCAAAAAATGGAAATGGGCACAATTTACACAAAATTGACCAGAAGAATTGCCTAAACTTCATGTGGACTATAGTAGAAAGCAATGAAAAGAATAACAAAACGGATGTATGAATACAAGACGCATGATAGTCACATGTTTATTTAATTATTTGCATTTATCTTGATAAATTGGTTCGTGTTTATACTACCTTCTTATAGTTTCTGTCTATGAAAAAGTAATTTTCTTCGTTGAGGCCTACGGTGATGCATAACAAACGAGCTCTCTAGGCATGCCTATTATGAATATAAAGCTTAAACATATCTGTATCATTGATGAAAATAGTCAATTCCTTTGTCTGAGTCGTAATTGAGATATATAATTGTATGATCGGCAACGCGACTTTTAGACAATTGTGTATTTAGTCTTTCAAAATATTATCACATCATACATTAAGTTTTTTGGATTGGAAAGAAAAAAATATATTCGATCTGATTTTCTAGGTGTCGCCATTCTTCATACTCTTCATCAACTGAAAGAAAATCATCAATAAGCCTCGTGATCAGCACTTTAAAAAATGAGTCATCAAAACGGAGACCAAATATTAAAATGAAAATGAGTAGGATGTGATGAAATTTTCACGTAGGAAGAATAAACTATTTTTGTTTTTAAATATATTCCATTGATACTGATCGATACACTCTTTATAGCTTGATTATACTTCACTACAGAATCGATTCATAATGAAAAATGTTTTTTCTTTTTGTGCACCACATTGCTTTCAGATTATTCTCTTTCTTTACCTTGTTTTGTTTAGTGATCAAAAGTAAATCAATTCGATGACGTCAATCAATGTGGAGCCCATAGAGGCGGTATTAATTGAACTAAAATCAGGCACAAAATTAGTTGAACGAAAGCACGATGGCGAGATATATTATCGTTACTTCTTCCTTCATGAACATGAGGGATATATAACATATGAAGAAACCGGGAAGACATTAGCGCGATCACCCTGTTGTGAGTATAATAAGCTCTGATTCTGACTTATTCATCATTAGAAAGCGATGAATTCTCTTCTTGATAGTTCAAAATAATCTATCTAATATTTCTCTAAGCTAAAATTCCATAGTCCTATCATTCGTTTTTTCCAAAAGACTATGAAACATATTAATGATGATTAATAATGAATCATACAGTTCTTTTTACTGCAAAAGAAATTTGAATAGAGCAATACTTCGTTGGTTTTTTTATGCGAAAACTAGCTTCTTGCTTCAAACAACACGTGACAACGCACTAGTATACATAAAATTATGAGTAAGAATCGGTAATTAGTTTCTTCACTCGTTCTGTTCTATGACGCATTTTTGTTATCCTTGGTATTGACTTGTGCACTTGTTAAAAACAACACTTCAATGTATTCTGTTTAGCATATATTCGATTAAAAACGCACAGCTCACGCTCATCTGAGAGAATATAAGTTACCATGGCTAATCCTCACTGTAGACACGTGTCGTACATTTCTACGCCTAATGTAGAATGTTTTTTTTTCATTCATTAGTCAGCAGTTTTGACTTAATATTTCTAAATTAGATTAAACCAAATTCACTATAATTCAGCAATCAAACTATTGAAAGATTAAGAAAAGTATTCTTTTTCATTACTAGAACAACTAATCGTTACTTTTCAAAATCAACTAATTCGTGTTGAATGTACTCTTACATAAGACTTGTTAAAAAAAAGATTCACAAAAAACTAAGAAATTAAAAAATAGATGAGAATCTAATTTTTTTAAACTCTTAGATGCTAAATACAATCCGCAAGATCATCATCTAAAATCATCAAAGGAAATTTTTTTGATTATACAGATCCACATGAATGAGAAAGTAATAAAACTTTTTAATCTAACAATGTTCGACTTTTTACGAATATATATGTTGCCATTTTATAAATTAAACCCCGTGTTAAATTTTTTTAATAGTTTATATAACTTGATTTTCTAGCCTATTGTTAAAAAACAAAGATGTGAAAAAAACAGATTCACCTTCGAAGCGATTTTTATGTTCTTGAATACTTTTCAATAATGTTTATTGATGAAAGTTCAGAATTGATTGTCGACATAACAACTAAGAAAATTCTCTCGAATCTTGTGTTGTTGATCACAGTCATATGCTAAGTAGTTATTATCAATCGTAGCATAGTAGTATAGAGAACATCATTCTGATGCCATTATTCAGCGTTCTTGATCAGTATATAATTCGAAGAGGTAAATACAAGTGCCGCCAAATTACAATTCATAATTAAATTTAATCAAATGGTCGTGATCAGTGCTCTAGGCTCAATTCATTTCAATGATAATTATTTGATTTAATGAAACTTTCTTGATTATAGTGTCATACATAAATTTCTGTTTTTGTTAAAATGAAAATTTTTGTCAATAAACATCACTGATAATCACCGAAGAACCTCCATATTGCTTTGCAGATGAACTTTTCTTATTATTTTGTAGAGACTCAATAGATTTTTTACACTAATAAGTTGCCTTTTTTCACTCATATCAGTCTATACAACTTCTGCTAATAGATCGAACATAATATTTATCTACGATAAATTTTCTATAAAATATTCTAATAAAGCAAAGACTTTTGCATTTCAACTACGCCTAGTATTCGAGCGTGATTCTTATCATACTCAGAGATTTTCCTTTTAATGTTAACACTTACTTTTTATGCGAAATGAACAGTTATTTTTGTGTAGATGCAATCAACAAAATGAACGAAATCCGTTCAGGTTTTCATGCACGAACCTTCGATCAACTTCTTCGACACCAAATTGTTGAACCGAGCGAAGTAAGCGTTCTTAAGTGTCACAGACAATGAAAACAATAAGAGATAAGAGGAGATATGAGTTGACTAACAAATACAAGAACAAAAGAACCACGGGCGTATTAATATATAAGTATAGGTTTTGCTCACAATTATTCATAAATTTCATAGAATAATGCATATATAAATTACAAAAGTTAATTATTTTGTAGTTACCATTATGATCCTTTTCAGAGATTTGCAAAATAATCATCGACATACTGAGGATATACTAAAATTGTTCGTCTATTACGTTTGGTTAAGACGTAATTTATTCTTTCGTCAAGAAATTGTAACTTTCTTGTTCTATTAATATTTTAAATAGATCAAAAGAAGTTTGGATTTTGTAAGTCTTACCAAAAGATAAATTGATTAATACTTTAAGTGAACTTTGAAAAAAAAAACCATGTTTCTGTTTAGGAAAATGTTTCATTCTCTATCATTTACAATGATTACAGAGGTGAAATTCATTTAATGGCCGATGATAACCGAACTCGTGATGTATGGGTACAAGGTTTGCAATATCTAATTGATCAGCAAGCAAAAAAAGAACCAAGAAATTTGACAAGAGAAAGAAAGTGAGAAACATAATAAATAGGTTACCATTGCTAATCATTCCGTTGACTAGATGGATTATGAGTCATTTTTATGCTGCAGACAAAGATCGATCTGGTGCATTGACAAAAAAAGAATGTCGTCGTCTTTTCTTCGAGTCACTCAATGCTAATGTATCCGAATCAATGTTCGAAAAATTTTTCAAAGTATCAAGTCACATCATTCGTAGTAATATCATCATATTCGGTTAACTTTTATTTAGCAAGCAGATAAGAGTGATGAAGATTTTTTAAGTCAAGATGAATTTATAACTCTCTTTCATCTACTTACTCGTCGTGAAGATCTTTTTGAAGTTATGCAAAAGTGAGTAAAATTAATAATTTCTGTTTTTGAGAAAACTTCAATTTTTTTAAAACAGTTATGTTGAAAATGAATACAAAACATCGATTGAAACAATTCAAATGACTGTTGATGAGCTTTTATCTTTCCTTCAAAATAGTCAATATGTAAGTACAACTTTAATAATTTGTTACAATTGATGTTAATTATCAATCGATATGTATCTAGCAAAAAATTCAATTGCCAGAATTCAAAGATTTGAATCGTGAACAAGCACAACAAATAATTGATAAGTTTGAAAACGATAGTGAACTTAGAGAAAATGGTCTTCTAAGTTTTAATGGTAAATATTCTTGTGAACGACTATATCGTTATTTTCAACCATAAAATATTCTCTCATAGAAAGGATTTCGAGTATTAAAAACTATGTCTTCAAAAATGTTTTTTAAGGATTATAAATTATTGATTCATTCTTAGGTTTCCGCAACATGATGTTATCTCAAGATTTTGAACTAATGAAACCATGGTGTGCTCTTCAATCCTATCAAGATATGACTAGGTATATCAATATAAAAGAATTCTCTCTCAATTTATAATATTCATTCTTATATTTTTAGACCATTAACCGACTACTTCATTAGCACTTCACATAATACGTATAATAACTATATATATATATTTATACAATTGTTTCAAATAGCAGATAAAATTCATTTGGTATTTTAGGTATTTATTTAATTCTCAAGTAATGGGTGATAGTAATCCGGAAGCTTATAATCGAGTATTACGTGCTGGTTGTCGTGCTGTTGAACTTGATTGTTATGATGGTGAAAATGGACAACCTATAGTGAAACATGCTCATACATTGGTCAAACCATGTCTTTTCGAATCGATCATTCGTTCGATAAAGCCAAATCTTTTCAGCAAATCACCGTAAGTAGTATTAATTATATCTATGTATGTTTATTTACAAAATTCATATCACGATTTGACTAATGATAAATAATCTATTATGATATATTTTCAATAGTAATGTACTCTTTTCGTAGATATCCTGTAGTTCTTGATCTTGAAAATCATTGTTCATTGGAGCAACAACAAGAAATGGCTCGTATCTTAGAAGAAATTCTTGGTGGTGAGAATGAATTGAGATGATATGTTCGCGATATTTTATTTTATTTTATTTTAAAAAGATCATTTGATCAATAAACCATTATCTGAAGAATATTCAATAGTTTTACCATCACCAGAAGAACTCAAATACAAAGTGCTTGTTCGAGTAAGTAACTTTTGTTTTCCATAAGTAAAATTCATTGATATATGTAAAATAAATCTACTATTATTGCCCTTGATAGGGTATCAAACGACCTACACCAACAACAATAGGCAAATTATGGAGAGATGAAAAAGATGATGATAAATCTCTTGTTGATCCACAGAGCCAGTTAAGTTTTACTTTCTCTTCCATTATTATTTGATTTTCCCAAACGTTTCGTTTTTCAGATAATTCAAAAGCGTCTAAGTGAGCTCTTTGTCTACCTTCAAAATGTTCCCTTTCGTGAATATAAATATGCCAAAGCCAATTGTAAGTGAAGTGTTGATTTCCATTTTTGTAAGATGTTTCGTTTGCTTATCACGAATAGACGTCTGTTATCACTCGCCAAATGTCGTCGAGAACCATTTTGGACGAGTAGTACGAGATGAACCCGCTAGTATAGTTAAACAAACAGCTAAGACATTATGTCGTTTGTATCCTAGAGGAATTCGACAGGACTCAAGCAATCTTGATCCTATAGTTCCATGGAACTTTGGTGTACAAATGGTTGCATTAAATTTTCAAAAAGATGATAAAATAATGGCACTATGCTACGGAAAATTTTCTGACAATGGTGGTTGTGGTTATGTGCTCAAACCAAATTATTTGATTGATACAAGTCTAAAAACATTCAATCCAATTGATTATCAAACAAGACCATCAAATTTGTCAGAAGATGGTTTTGAACAATCACAAACATTAATTATTACTATTATTAGTGCTCAGTTTTTGTCACGAACAAATTCAAAAAGTAATGATGTACCCGATCCGTATGTTGAAGTATCAACACATGGAATGCCATGTGATCAACAAGCTCAGCAAACAAGTGTTGTGAAGAATAATGGACTCAATCCGATTTGGAAAGAAACATTTCAATTTCAAATAAGTTTTCCAGAAATTTGTCTTGTTCTATTTACTGTTTATGATCATGATGTTCTAAGTAAGGATGATCGATTAGTGCATTTTTGTTTGCCAATGAAAACAATGCAGAGAGGTATTTCAACGAAAAAGTTTTTTTTTGCTGAACGAAATCAATTAAAATTGTTCAATGTTTTACTCTAGGATTTCGTCATATGCGATTACGATCAAAAAACAATGGTCTAACTGATTCAACTCTATTCGTACATGTTCAAATTGAAGGCTATAAAGAGGATGATTATGTAACACGTCTATAGAAAAACAAAAAAAAACGTTATTATCTCATTCATAGTTTTTATTTTATGTCTACTTTTAATCTTTAAAAATAAAATAGTGAATACAAGTGTGAAGGATGTGGCAGGTGTGGTTTGTTTCTCGAGTGACCGATAGTCATTTCACACCCACACTGAATTCTCGAAAAAAAGAACAATGCTTTGAAAATCTAGAATTTGTAGAAAAAATGCTTCTTTCAATTGCGTATGGTGACCGTGTCAGTAATTCTCTACAAAATGATACATCTCTGAGTGCATCACAATATCTTTTTTTTTTTTTACTGAATTACATCAATTTTAAGAGAAGTTCTCTTCCCTCAGTTTGCATTTCGGCAGTAATAGAAAAACTATCTTTCAAAGCTTGAAAATATCTCATTTCTTAAACAATCTTTTGCTTTGTATGACCAAACGACACCTTTTTTTTTGTTTTTTAGATTCTGTGTGCTGAAACACAAAGCTTCAGGTTCCTTATAAATCCTAAGTTTTGAAGATATTATAAAGATTTTAATTCCTTCAAATTCTTATTGGAAATTTTTTTATTAACATTCGTTTTAAAAATGATATTATTTGAAAATAAAATTCAATTAAAAATATCAATATCTAATTGCCATTCATTATTTTCTTCAGTAGTACGTGTCCAAATAACTTGATAATTTCCTTTATCTAATGAATGTTGATATGAACTTGTTTCAATTAATCGATCATTTCCTGCTTCTAAAACAGTTCCTGTTGTTAAATGTAAATTATCAACTCCAGCACCTCGTGCAGCTTGTCAAAACTTTTTAATTTGTTCACGTCCTTCATATTTATTTTTATCAGGTGGTAAAAGTTTTCCTTCCGATGTATAAACTCCAACTGATTCATCAAGGGTGTGGGTGTGGGTGTTGTTATGGGTACATTCTTTATCCATACCCACACCCACACCCTTATTGTTACACAGGGAAAAAACGAGTATTTCGCGGAAAAGTGGTGGTTTTTGCCGGATGATCCCCATTGAAACTAGTACCATTCGATAGAGCGTAAAATGTTGCACCTAACACAAGTGCGTAAAGAGTTAATACAGGTATGAAAGCGGATCGGGACAAAAAAATACTCGAATCTGGTGCTAACTTTACTTACGTCTGAAGATTCGAGCTAGAGTCATATGAATAAGCAAAGATTTTCACTTTTGAATAGCATTAACTATGTTCGGTGATGCTTACGTGTATTTATTCAAGATCAGAACTTGTTAATTGTTGTCTTAATTTTTTCCGAACATTGATATCAACTGGAGTAGAAGATTTTCCTGTTCTTTTCAATTTTATCAACGATGATTACCAAATCAATTCCACACTGACACTCTCACAAGTAATATATAGATCATTCGAGATAGTTCAATATGATTAGTAAAACTTTATATTTAGAACAGACTTATAGTATTCACATGATGTCTATCGTATAAACTGTATAAGTAGTGATTTTTTTTTCAAACAAAATATCGTGATCTTTCTGTTAAAAAGCAGTATGACAAAGTATTGAAAATGTTATTTTTTTCACATTCATATCAACTAATGTTACCGAACATTTCATATAGATCATCTTGTTCAATTTGATCAAAAATCGAACAATCATGATCCCATGATTTCATAGAAAATTCATGATAAGGTGTAAATTGCAAGTATTTTGACGTTGACGAATCATATTTCTGCCATTGTTTCGATGGTTCTCCTTTCTTAGCCATATTAATCCAATATGAAATAATTTTATTTGAATATATTCTTGTTTGATCATCCCACGTACAATTGATGGGATTCATAGATGAATAATAACTTTCAGTTCCAAATACTAATGGAAGTTCTGCTGTATGAAAACATACACCAGCACCTTCTTCTTTTGATAATTTAGGACATATTCCTGGATTACAATCTAAATTATACCAAAATAAATTATGTTCCATTAGATTATATTTTCAATAAATATTATTGAATATACGGCGAATACTACAACCAAAAAGAGTATCTAAAATTAAATTAGTTTTATCACAGCAACGATTTGTATCATTTATATTTGATGAACAGTTGTTTAATTGATAATAATTAATAACTGTAGATACTCTATTTTGTCCCAGAATCTCAGTTAGATTTAATATAGCAAATTCAGAGTCCATATCAGGAAATACTAGACAAACTGGTAGTTCATACTTATTAGTACCGATTATCATATTTATATTTCGATTATATTTTCCATGTTGAATGGCTAATAGTGGATAATACGAGAAAAAATAACCATCAATAACTGATTGCAATCGACCATCGCCATAAATCATAATTAAATCATTAATAGAGTATTACGTAAACATTGGAGAATTAATTCACTTTTAGGATTTGTACAGTTCAATTGTTCAACAATTTTATTTGATATTTGCAAAGCAGAACTTATGTTTGAATAATACGAACTAGTCAATCCAGCTGATTGTGATATAATATGATGGTAGAGATTAGAAGATCCTTTTAATGCACCTATATCAACAACAGCTTTTTCTCCCGAACTTTCTCCAAACAATAAAACATTGTTTGGATTACCACCATAATCACGAATATTAATATTGATCCAATGTAATGCTGATAACATATCTAAATAATTATAATTTCCTGCTGTTGGCCAATGTGAATTTTCTTTGATCAATTCAACGAGATACATGTCAGCAAATATACCTAGTCTATAATTGATTGTTACAATAATTACTGGCTGTTCTAGTGAATTTCTTATTATATTTGTACCGTTGTATAATAAAGGAATACTTTGTGATGAACAACCAGTCATTAGACCACCACCGTGAATCCAAACAAGAACTGGTAATAAAGATTGATTTGATTTGTGTTTTGGTGTAAAAATATTTAAATATAGACATTGTTCATCTTGCGTAGGTATATATATTCCAGTATCTGGTTGAGGACAACATGGACCAAATGAAGTTGCTTCAAATGAACCATTTGAAAATAGTTTAAATGCGAGATCAACCGGCGGTTGCCATCGATGTACCTTAGCATATTGGATTCTACGAACCCGTACATTAAGATTAAAATTAATCATCTTGATAAGCATATGCATATATATGAGTAAGATAGTTGAGAAAATCGATTTAACAATCAAGAGTAAAAATATATATATCAGGCAAAAGAAGATTTTTTTTGTCTCTCACACTTTAAAATAAAACAGAAATTATTTCTAAATTTATTTTGTGTTTTTTCGCTTTTCCTAATGTTATAATTAATAATATTCAAAGTAATCCAATACATCTTTTTATGAAGAAAGATGAAAGTTTCTAGTTTCTGTTTATAATCCATTACTTTATTGAAACTCTTGAAATCTAGCTTTCTCTACTTCTATTCGAAAGATATCATTTTTTTTTCTGAATTTTCACCAATAGTCAACCCTAAGAAATCCAGAGATCTGATAGATTTCTTTTTGTCTTATCCCGACTTTTGTAGAGTTCTCTTTCGATTATTTCGGTGCTTCGAGCTTAACACCGCCATTTACTGATGAAATCAAATTTTTTTTTCTTGAAATGATCCAGAAAAAAAAAGTACTCTGCATAATGACGTATATCCGAAATATGTTTTCGAATATCTATGCTTGTCTTTGTGACGGACTATCTATGTCAGTATTCTAAAATAATTTATGTTAAGTCGTACGAGTTTATTGTGAATTGACTGAACTAGAACATCGTTTTGAAACCTGAAAGAAGGAAAATAGGATAGCAAACATCGAAAGATGGCAGATAGATTATTTTGAAAATTGAGAACTTGAGAATTCGGATAATATTACAGAAGGCTAAAATCTATCGCTTACACCAGGCAGAAAGCATATAACCATATCTCTTTTTAAGTAAATAATCATAATTTTAAGTGATACTTCTAAACATTTTGCTTATAAAATAAATACTGAGAATCGTGTCCTATCATTAGAAAAACCATCAACTAATTCAATCCAAATCACGAGGAAAATATTCTATTGTATTATTCGTTAGCTATTTCTGAGACACCCAGAACGTACCGAATCCGTTGATAAATTAGAGGTTGATATCGAATCTGACTTGAAATTTTTCTATTCATTGTTGGATCTGCTATGAGACTTAAAATGTTTTCGTTTGCATTTATTATTGATTTCTATTGAATATGTTTTTAAGATTGTCTGGTTCAAAGTCAGAACAAAGATAAATTATTGAGACATTTTACAGATACAGAGAATGGAGAAAAATCTTGAAAGAATTCCGAAAAATAATTCAACACTGTCACTACTCGATATGCTTGTTACTAATCCTATCTACTTGTTTCGATCAGTAAATTCTAATTACTTTGGTTACTTTTTCATGTTGTCTCTTATTATTACTACCGTCGATAAGTTTCTTAACATTACACTTTCTCCACAATTGTTGACCAGTCAATCATATAGATCAATTCTTGTATGAAGCATTTAATTTTCTAAGTATAATTCTTTGACTTTGTCAGACAGCATTAAGTGTAATCATTTACATATTCGTTCATCACTATGCAATGATCTTTAATTCTTTTGTCATCTACTTCTAAATCAAGGGATTTCGTATGAGCTCACCCTAAATACTCAATGGAATGTTCAGTATGTCGACCATATATGACGCCTTTCCTAGTTTTCAGTCCAGGATCTGTAGCATCACTAATGATCACCATGAAGAATAACATCCGACACAATAAGAATGTTACATATTCATAGGAATTTTGAGAATTCATCGAAGGTAAATCGTACACTTTTATTTATAATCCTTTTTTATTGAACAATGACCGAGGACAGATTAAAATCAACCAAATAGAATTGAATTATTGCGAGAATACAATTTTTGTGTTTTGTTCTGTTAAAGTCTGATGATTGTTTTTTTTTTCAATCTAAAACACTGTAATATTATGAGTATGATCGAACATTTGCAATATAAAAAAAATATTGTACTGAAAAATTAACTTTAGAGACCACTCATGACACATTGATATCTAATAATAGCATTATTTCTATATATAGATCAAACCATGGAAAAAATTCTTGAATTACGTAATATGAGATAACGCTAAACGATGAATAGTCATTCATAGTTGTTGTCATGATAAGAACTAAATTGAGTAAAACTATATGATAAAATTCTACTTTTACACCTTTGTAATTACGTCTTTGAAATCATTTCTGAATCATTGTTCTACATTGAACAAGCGTTTGATTCAACATGTATGGAGTTCTATCTAACTGTAATGGAACAGAATATATTTTTCTTATTTAATCTATCTTACGCTATATATGTAATAGAGACCAAAACCGAATCGAATCCGAATGGAACTTTTGATATTCGTTTCGGTCTCTGATATGCATATATACATGTATCTAAGAAATTGTTCGTACAAAAATATTTTCAACCATTCATCAATATCAATTATTGTACAAATTTCTAACTTCTCTATATTTCTTCATTAAGTACAATGAATGGGATGCTAAATTAATTTCAACTTTTTTCTAAGCTTGACAATCAATATATTAGTAAAATATATTTCTAGTCAAGTAATAAATTGAAACTATAATTATGAAAAACATTGAACAAGTAAAATTTTTGTTAATATGCAATAAAACATCAAGTGAGATTAATTAAGACAAAAGAAAGAGTTAGTGACTAATGGTATCACCTACATATGTTGTCTATCTTGCTTTCTTCATAGCAATACTACATCGATTTATAATATATTGTGTAAAATCTAAAATTTTTCTTATTAAGAGATTAAATAAAATGTTTAGAGAAAGTAGAATATTTTATTTAGTATTTTCATTTTAAATTATTTTGTGTTTTCTCACATTATCTGACTACAAAATTAAGATATGCACGCAGAGAAAAAGACACGACTGAAAATGCACAGAAGTTGGATATACAACATCTTCGAGAGTATCCTACTAATTCATTATAACTTACCTTTGAGTATGCACGCCACTCAAATGGTTCGACATCGACTTAAGATTTGACATTTCCGTATTCTATTTACTCTAAGAATAAAAGATTAGTTTTTAGTTTTTCAAAATACTAAGATATCATAGTATTTGTTCGATATTTTAAAAATGTCATAGGTAAACAATTTATATTTTATTTTTAAGGCAAGTGCTTGGTAGAAATATAGATGCGCAAATCTAATTGAAAAGCTTAAATTCGACCCGTATTGTTGCATGAAAACTCTTCTAAAAACAATAAGAGACAGTAGATAATTTCCATATTTTTAGTATTCAATATTAGGACGAGATACATTCACATGAACAAAAGAAATTGCAGCTCAAAAGCAATGACTTACCTTCATAATAGTACTTTCAAGCCCTTCGAGATGGGTCACTTATATACACATGATAGTTTTATGTCAACTCATGATTCACTTATGAATATCTCGTATGATATTTATTTGGTCTATTGGAGAATAATGACCATGAATCATACCTCGTGTTGTTCTTTTATTTGTGAATGATTTTAAAACATGACGGCTACTATCGTATAAAATGATGGCTCACTAATAAATAAATATAACAACCAAAATACACATCTTGGCTGCTGTAAAAAAATATGTCAATGGACAATAACAGATGGAAAGAAAAATATCTGAGAAAGATCTGTATGATCGAACGAATGACTTACGACTTTTTAACTTAAAAAGATTCATAACATATCCTCGCGTATATCTAACTGTGTTATTTTCATATATAATCGTCCTATCTGTGTTTTCGTCTTTACTCGTTTTTATTCTACTATAATCTAGGCCGTTTTGATCTTTCTAACGCTCTGTTATAAAAATATCTACCATTTATCTAAGTGTTGTACTTTTGATTATGCATATAAATGAGTTCAGTTATAGTACAAAAGAATCTCGCAAATACTTTGACTATCTGTCCTGGTTGGATGTGGGTGTGAAGAGAAGACCACAAAGACACCAACAATCACATCAACACCCATTTCGAGTATGGTGAGATACGATCGTAATACTGAGTCTTGTAATTTGTCAGTATAGAACGATTTACGGTCGTTTACGTTCGTGTTTGTTCCCAAGGAGATGCTTTTAGAACCGGCAATTATTGTTATAAAAGTCTTGAATAGTTCTATCCATTGTTCAATTTTGTATACATGAAGATGTGATGTAATAATATTTACAACTAGAGAATAATCTGAATATAAGATTATGATAAATTAAGATCACACTATTTCAATGATGTGGTAATCTTTTCTTTTGCAATAGATATAGTGCTAGGAAAACTATTTGTAAATCATTGTATGTATTTCTATTTTATCGTTATAAATCAATAAATATAGAGCATAAGTTTTATTCCAAACATGAAGAAGACAGAATAATGAGAATGACGAAAAGTTGGAAGGTTTTCAATTTGAAATTTTTTATTTAACATATTGATACTTGAAGGAAAAAAACTCTAAAATGAATATGCTACTTTTTATTATTGTATATCACTGAAAGAATTCCAATAATTCGACAAATATCAATATAGAACAAAAAGAAATTTTTATTCACTGTTTTCCATTATCATTAGAAATCGCAAAATAGAGTGTCAAGAGTAGTATGAAAGAACAAAAGCAAATATAGGTTACAATAGTGTAGCCATCGGATAGATTTTAGACAGTTTTTACGGAGAAACCAATAACGCCGAACTTATAAACTGAACTTAATTACGTAATTGTAGCATTTTCAGGATTAGCTTTTCTTGAAAAAAACGTAATAGTCAAACCTTATATAAAGAAAAAATTGATTTTATGAAACAAATTGGTATTATATGTTAAGTTATTTCTTGTATTTATCTAGTACTCTACTTAAAAGACATTTGTATCTTGATGCACCTATTTGCATATCTTTATCCCATCAGTCTACGATCAACTAAATTGAGTGTTGAAGAACGTTAATTGCTTTCAGGTAGCATACAAAATACTTTGGCCTATCGAAAAGTATAATTTTTTATTAGATTAAAATCGATAAGCTATGAGTAAAGATATGGAAAAATATAGATCATAGTTACTTCTGCTGGAATGATTCGAGTCACGTCATCTAGAT